TCCTGCTATCGACTTCCCGGAGAATTTGCTCTTTTACTTTGCTGATGGGACATATTCATCTCACCTTCGTTGACGGGTCAAATGACCTTTCCCCGGTTATTCGAAGAGTTCAGTCTGGGATTCTCGACAGTCTCCGAATCAGCGAATGAGTAGGAGGCTTGCAACGCACAGATGTATAGTATTTGCACACTCATTTGCAAGAAACTGTACTGCTATGGGCACGGTCCCCAAGTCGGATTTCGCAAAATAGCGATGTAGGTAACGGAGAGCCCGAATGTATCGACTAATTTTTTCAGCATGATATATCCTGAGAGAAATGAAAAAGAAAATCGATGACGAAGCGAAATCGAGATAATCATGTATTGCGTTGGAACATAATATCGTAGCGCTTGTATCCAAAAATGTAATCCAAAAATGAACCGGAGGGAAAGAATGCCTGTCAATTACGCGGGAGTTAGCCCCCTATATAAGTCTGGCTTTCCAACCGGTACCCTGAATACGGTCCACCGAAGTCTTACTGTACTGTGCTTGTCGTTGGCTGGTCCAGTGGATCTGGTAAAGGTACGGTGTTTCTACCTTGTGATTACGTGATGATTAGGTGGTGTCGAAGATCTAGTAGGTGTGTGGAGATTTTTGGTCGGATACTCATAAACTCGACTTCCATCCTTTTAGGCTCCGAAGAAGGCGAACTCGCCGAAACGTAAGCCAATAAACTGTCAGTATCAACCTCGTGTGCAGTTCAACAAAGCTATACCATTCAATCACTAATATGCCGAGGTTCATAGAGAGTCGAACATGGCGTAGCGCTTGTACTTTTCATTTCTTCACACGTACTAAAAACATGTAGAACTCATCAGTGATGTTCACTTCGGTTCCGTCATTATTACAACTCTGATTTGCATTTCGCAAGCTGATCAGCGCGGATGCAGAAACTTCTCATGGTCGTTTGAAGCAAGATTCGATTGAAACAATGGATTCAAAGGAGCTTCCAATTTGGCGTTTTTTCCTTCTCTATTCAGACCGAAGACCAGCAGCGGTCAAAACGCCGGTTTTCGCCTCTGGACTTTCCAACTTTAAAGCTCTCTAAGTGAGTATAGCTTCAATGTTGAAGGAATTTGCAACTACATTTTTGTAGAGTGGGAAGAGCGCTTCTAAAAGCGTGAGCAATTTTTCTGGTGATACTTGCACTGATTGAATTTATACGTCCAAAAAAACACCACGATATTATCCTCCAGCACAACACATTTACTATTCGGAGCAAAAAAAAAAACAGTCCGGCGTTCGTGGTGCATTTTAACTAACATATATGCACTATTTGTGATGAACAACTTCAAAATGCCTTCTTGGAGTCTTGAAGAGCCTTACTTAGTTCTGGCGTCCCCCCACTTTGTACGTGGTCTTACAGCGAGCGCCAATTCGATTCACTCCGTGGCAATTTATTAACTTTACACTGGCGTAATGGTGCGTCCCAAGGATGAGAGACAAGTGCACACGAGCGCCAGGCAAGAACAATGAACAGCGCTGAAATGTTTTTTCTTCCAAACAAAACGTCCACATGGTAATTTCAATCACACCACATTCAACACATGCTATATACGACTTCCAAGGGATAAAAAGAAGTGCAACTGACTAGAATTAGGTGATATCTGCAAACGGAATCTAAGAAGAAGCTAATTCTATCATGCGTGAAATACGCAGCAACATGATGAAGGGAACAAAATTAGCAAAAGCCCTACGTTGATTTTGAGGTGAGCGTTGTTCAAGTTTCTCGAGAGACCCGAAGATCGGAAACTGTGCTTATTATTTTGGAAATATGATATGGACTTCGGGAGACGTCTTTTCTAGGTTTCTTGTGGAATCGAAGAAAGGGTTAATCTGCGCAAGACGCAGGTTGAAGGTGAGTATAAGAGGTGGTCCATCGGGGTTCCCTTTCCATGAGTTGAGATCTTCTTCATAGTTTGAGAGCTTAGCGCCTCTATGGTACGCTTAATCCCAGCATCTCCAACTTTTTTGCAAGTCAGAAAGCAAACGTAAAGTACGACAACAGCTTCCAGCAGCCTTTCACATCCAGTCCAAAGTGGTCGGCATTCGACACGGAGTCCTCTTAATTTTTAAACCGAAAAATGCAGTCCTCTGAAAACGAAAGCATTGCATAGTTTGGCACGGTGCCACCAATTGCGTTGCGGTAAGCTCGTTCATACGTTCCGCTCTCTGAGCCGCTGCTCGTCCGTGAGTGAAAATTATCGGCTAAACAAGGAAGTTCCGTTTCGGTTTTCTTGCCGCATTTCTCTACTTTTTTGGCGTACCATTGAGCATCCCCACCTATCCATTGAGCATCCTCAAGAACGTGCCTAATCGCTGTCTTCGAGGCGAAAATAGTCGTTATTTCCCTTTTCTTTGTGTGCGTTTAATTAAGAACGCATCCAAGAAAGGCTGTGAGTGATGAGCGCAAAGTACGCACTCTGAAGCCTCGCACTCCAGCTGAGAATTCTGCGAAGCTGTCCTAAGAACGATCGTTCTATGACGATTCACATAGATTTCAGCAGCAACGCTGCTTCCATATCTTTCTGCAACATCTAGGCACCGCCTCGGACGCCTCATATATAAGTCTTCGAGAGAATCTTTGAGACTCACTCTCTCTAGAAAAACTAAAGAACCATTAGCGCTCCACGTCTATACATATATTGCTAGGAACATAGTTGTGGGCTGTCGTAGCCACATCACAGCGTAATAGCCGTATAATTTACTCGTTTCCTCGAGACGATAGCCACGTGGCTGGGAAAGCATGTCATTCCTAATGGCTTGATTGTTTCGAAGAATATTAGAAGGGCTCAAGCAAGGACGACCTCACCTGACAACAACACATTTAGGGCCATTCAAAATACAAAGTTATGTCACCGATGGAAACTTGGAGCTGGGAAAATAAATCAAAAATGTGTCATCCGTGAAAAGTGCGGCTGTATCCTCGATTTGCAATAAATCGGTCTGACCGTCTGAAGGCATTCCCACGACAAATGTGGGCACTCAAACAAAATAAACAGCGAAATTATTTTGACAATTATGGGAACTTTTGTATCAACACAAATATTTTCTCACGAGTACCTACACATTTATCAGGAATGGGCATTCTCTTTCCAAATCTAATCAGCTTCCCATTCGTAAAATTGCGTGCAGATCCAAACTCATGGTGACGGTCTGTCAGTGACTGCCACATTTGGAAACCAGACCGGGAAGGGAACCCAGGGAGATTGCGTGAGTAAAAGAAATTCGCAGGAATTCAGCTCAGTAAACATAAGTGCAAGAGCGCACAATCGATTGAAGTGGAGAACGAAACAAGTTCGTGTGCCGAAAAAATTGGAAAGCCCTGAAGAATTCCTGACGAACACGAAGCAATGATTTCAGATGAAGTGGTTGGTAACCCAAAGGAAATCAAAACCCGAAATGGCAAATATGTAGTCATTTATCTTTCTTACAATTTTATCAAGTTCATATGTGATATATTTCTCTGAATAAATTACGATGATATTAAGTGAGTCAGTTCCCTTTGAAATGAGTCAACTAGCCAGCGAGCTTCGAAATTCGGAAAACTTCTGCGATTCCAGTAAAAAATCTGTTGAAAGGTTTTTTATTGGCGTGAAGCACGACGCCGGGGCGGCAAAAAGTCCAGGCAGCTGGGTGCACCCAACACATTGAAAGTGGTGTAAATCTCTGCTCTCAATAACGACTAGATCAGAATGAAATGCGAAAGTTTTCCCGCAGAAGATATATAAACTTTCAAGTGCTTCCCTCAATTGAAATTCCACGTGGAGAAAATGCTCGTTTTGAAAGAAGGAGCTTTTAATGTTTCGAATGATTCGCTCCATTGCGTACAACTCGGAAACCTTTTGAAAGGATTCACGTACGTTTTGGGGGGTGGGCCACATGTGAACCTAAAACCGGGTGTTTTAGCTCCCAATACGGTTACAAAATTCAACTTGTGTTTAATGTTATTTCATTGGAAAATTTTGCTCTACAATGGTCGTTTACTATTATTCATAATTTAGATTGGCCAAAAATTATCTGCCGTTTTTTTCATGTTCATGGTTCTTTGATTATTTGCTGATTATTGTCAAAGTTGATGATTTAATCTGAAAGCGCTCAATCTCTTGTACATTTTGATGTACAAACTTGTGTACTACTTCACTATGGAGCTTACATAGTATAAAGTTGAGCTCGAAACCGAATGCTTCTGCATCTGCTCGTAGAATCAATGAAGCCTGGATGAAGGCACGGTTGCAGAGAGGACTGCTTCGAGAGCGTTGTTTGATTACGCATTTATTTTGTATGTTTTTGTTTGGTTTTGTTAATAAACTTATGAGTGAAATGAAAACGGCGGATAATTTATTGCTCAACCTAATACCTTGGGCCATTACCATTTGTTAAATTCCATAACCGTTCAGAAAGACCTCGCGATGACCGGGAGCAAAACCCTATGGAACAAGATAAACATGAAAAAAAGTGAATCCCTAATGTGATTATATGTAGTGGCAGGTGAAAGGACGCCTCTGTTTGAAAGCCCTAATGATGAAAAATCGGGTGGAAACTGAGAAAAAAACGAAAACCTAGCAAACAGAACAAAAATGAATGGAAACCTCCAGAAAAAAATCGAACTGAAAAGTCTTCACCATATTTCCCCATTGCTAGCTTGAGTCTATTTTCTGGTCAGGTTCTATTTTTTTATTTTATATTTTTGTTCTATCTATTCATAGTGGATTAATAATAGAAATAGAAATTTTTCACAATAGCTCCCACTGCCACTTGTTAAATTTTATTCTTACTGAGTATAGGTACAAAATCTGGCACACTTTTCCGTGGAGGTAGAGACTACAGATCACGTGGCCAGGTGAGTACCCATCCCGCAAAGCTGAGTCAACAAAAAGGGTACACGGGCGCGGTTTCACTTCTACTTGCCAAATCATCGTGAAGCTTCACCTCGAGAATTCAACTACTTCTGTAGAAATTCATGGCTGGTGCTGTAAAAGGGATCAACTGATTAAATCAATAATGCATTACAATTTAATCCAATCCAATTTTGCTACAATTTTTTTTGTAACATTCTTAAACATTCTTATACGGTTGAGTTTTACGTCATTATTCTTTAAGCATATCGTCATTTTGAAGACAATGATGGTTCCCTTTTGATCGCTTGGGATTAATCTTCTCCACTAAAAGGAGACTGAATAAGGAGGGGATACATCTGAAAGTACCCTTGAAAGCCATTAATTCAGCTCCTTCTGCTGGCCAGTCTCTGAGAAAATCGTAAATTCCCGCTCGGGTGTTTTTTTGGGCAGCATTGGCTCATTAGAGAGAGGCCATCCGCTCGCGAGCAATGAAACGAAGCAGAAGCAAGAATGGAAAATTCAAATAAATCCGAATCGAAAATAGACTCACTATGGACATTAGAAATGATCCCTGCAGGCATAATGCGACGAAGCCGAACGCATTCAGGCAGAAAAGACAGCATGAATAGGAGGCAATGAGAAGAATCGTTATGATATACTGAAATTGAAAACACTTTCTTAAATTATTTTAAAATTTTGAAAAAAAACCAATAAACTGTGGAGTAATAATATTCTCAGGTAATATTATCATTTTGAAGAATATTTATGCATAATTTTACAGTAAATACTACCTAAATATGTATCATAACCACAGGGAGGGCCAAAAAAAAAGACATTTTGCCCAGGTCGCACTTCGGCCTTTTTTCTTCGCAGAGATTGCCGTCGTTGACGGAAGTTCCTCAGCAAAATATTCCTTAAATGTCCCTCTATAAGTACACAGGCCCTCCTTCACTACCCTCACCGTCTTCAGAATATGACGTCATCTGTCACCGTCGTCGAGCTCAGGGAGGCCTACAGTAACTGCTTCAGCCTGAAGCTCTTACATAATTTCTTGGATCGATTCAACGTGGGATAGTTTCCTAGGGACATTAGCTCTAACTATGCAAACCCCCTCGGAACCCGCCTTCGGAACCCGTCGTAACGGTACACGATCAGTCGAGAACCCCACTGAGCTCGACCAGAGCACCATGTTTCCGGGGCAAATTTTCCTGATGCCGTCCACGTAGATGGCCACTATGAAGATTTTCTTATGAAATGAAATGCGCTCTTCAATTCTAAGTTGGGAGCACACGCTTTGAGCTGAGCAAAGTGTGATTAAATCCATTTGAGTCTGGAGACAAAATGTCTTTTTATTGGCCCCCTCTGTATAATATTATTTAGTTATCAGTAGGGCTTTGAAAAGCATGGCAGCCGTGGAATATTATTTTTACTTAGGATTTTGGTTGAGAGATTATCTTCTGATGAAATTCTACAAAATTAAGCTCAAGAAGGTAAATTTAACTACCACCCAAGGCGACTAATAATATGCTATTTGATTAGTCATTGAAATCGAACCCCTTCTTGTCGAATGGATGGGCATAGTATTACGTGAGAAACCTATGTAAGCCTATGCAAGAAGTTCCACGCACATTCAACGAGGAACTGAGCCCATTGTTAGTTTCTTCCTTGTTGAATATGGATGGCGTTCTTTCATCATACACCTGTTACCGACGGAGCTCGCCGGCCCACGCCCTCTGCCTTTGCCAGGGAGGTCTCAGATTATGGAGAGCTTTTTCAGGACAAATTTTCCCTGTTATATGGCTATATGGGGAATTATAGAGCTGAATCATTTCTTTTGAGCAATCGTGGGAATTTATCATAAGAATGCTGAGTTATGGGCAAAGCATTCGCCCCGTTGGGATTCTTACCCGGATTCATGCTTTCCAGGCAATTGTACTGCCAGTTTGCACCACCAACCCGGTTTCGATAGTAAGTCAATACCACAGCTTAACGGTAAACGTAATGGATCGGCTAGCCGATTTCGGCACGAATAGATAAGATAGTTGGAAAACCGAGCAAGGAACTTTCTTGCGGGAGTACAATTTTTACATTTTTAATTTATTAGGTGGCATTTTTCAATTTATAGCATTCTGTAACGTGTTGCTATGAAAGTCTTCCTCCAGCGCGGTTAAATTCACTATGGATGTTCTGGAAAATGACAGGAACGAATCGGCACAATGTTGGCACGCGCTCTAGGAACAATCGACGATCAGAGGGCGACAGGTGACACAGCTGATTGCATTTGCAACATTGAGTGCTTATATATTGAGAAGTTTTTATATGGGCTAAAGGCTAAGTCGTATGCGTATACTAACTGAATTCCTATGAAATGAAGAAATTTGTTGGCATAACCCTGGATTAGTTTTTCATTCATTTTTTCGGCATTCCTTCTTGTGTGACAGTTTTTCAGCAAACGTTCTATGCTTTGTTTCCATTTTCCAATAATCCAGAGGTTTATAAATAGGTTATTGTTCTCACTGATGTATTGAATAGTGAGTAAATGTTCCTGAAAAAAAAAGAAGAATGGACCTAACTCATGCCCAACTCACTCCTAACCATATGAATTCGCAATAAACCAAAATGAAGACATTTCTTTTCCCACACTAGAAGGCTGTCTTGTAATTGTCTACGTTGGTTCAGAATGATTCTCGAACTTTTAGTGAGAATTTTAATGTCCACTTCTGAAGAGGAAGTTAATCCGCCTGTTGTGCCCACATTTTTGTTGTTTTCGAGTCATTCAGGAAAATTAATCATTCCACTCCACAGACTTCGTTAATATACATGGTCGCGAGACGTCTGGGAATAAAAAAATCTCCTCTCACAGTATCGTGGTGTCAGTTTTGCCGTTACATTACCTTTATTTGAAAATCTTTCTGTTTAGGGAAGGCGGAGCACCTCAGAATCGAGGCTTCTCATCAAGGTGCAGGCAAAAAGCTTCGGCCTCCATTTATTAGTATTATTATTTTGCCGCCATTATATTAATTCTATTGTTTGAGGCTATTTATATTTTATTATTATTGTTACTGGTTTTCTTTGGTTATATTAGGGCTTCGATTATTCAGCTCAAAGGGGGGAGGTCCATCAGTGAAGAGGGGGGAAAATGCACCCGAATTAGAAGACAGGTAAGAAGACAACAGCAGCCTTGCACATTGCATGAGGATATAAAAAGCTAGCAAAAATCAAAAAGTAACGGCAGAAGAGCCTTCACGACCCATTTATCCATGTCCATCCACATCCAGTACACTATTATTGTTCAATATTGTTATGTTATTAGCTCAGTGTGAAGGACGCTTAGCAGACAGTTGAGGTCTTTGAACAAGAAAAAATACTGTATGCTTTTCCTGGTAATATTTTCTAAGGAAGCGGGTGGCAATCGATAGAAATTGACGTCGTGCAGGGCTTGTACTTTGACAAGCCACTTAAGCAACGGTTACACCTACACACGGATATAAGCGGATATCCGCCTAGAGCTTCACTCAAGTGCGTTAGAAAGGGGCGGAGAGTGAGAAAACAAGATATGTAAAAGTAGTTTTGGAAGGTAGGGAGTAATCTTAGGCAAGAGTTCACCTTATTCCATCACGGTTCTGAACTCGGAGCTATGAGTCAACTTTACTAGTCCTAATAGGCTTAATTACATGCTTCGGCCTACTCTATGACTCACTCCACCCATAACATCATGGCTATCAGAGAAAGGGATCGATCGTAGGTGTGTTACGAGTGAGTCACCATTAGTTCCCTATTCATAGATTTAGGTGATTTCTTCGCTTATCAGTTATAACCAGTCCAAATATCTTTGAATGTCATAGGAAAAGTGATTCTCAATAGGGGGGGGGAGGGCAGAAGCCTCCGCATTCGACAACAAAAGAAAGGGCAAAACGTCTGTCTCTCGTGTAGATCCAATAAAAGCATTCAGTCTCGATGCTTCGAATCTCGCCAATCACGGCTGTCCTCTCTGTCCATCTGTCGAGCAAACTTTGATAAGATTTTATTGGCGATCGAGACTCCACGACGAGAACGTTTCCGATAAGAGCCAACCAAGCCAAATAAGCTGTCAGAACCAGCTGACTGGTTGCGTAGGCAAGTCATAGGAACGCTTTCGGACTGGTTTTTGTACTATGTTGAGCGCCGTTCATAGAAACCCCATACTACTGAAGCCTTGTGAGGATCAACTACGAGAACTATTTCTGGCGAAGAAACGAGCCATTCGACGGGTTTCTAGTGAACAACAAAAACACGGTGCTAATTCATCAGCGTGAATTGGGTTGTGTGTCAGGTGAACAAATGTTTTTCCTCAGCCTTTATCAGCACAACTGTCCGTGCTCGAACGTCGCTGAAGGGCAATCATATTAGCAGTAGTTCGGCTGAAGAACAATTTAATGTAGTTTGAGATTTTGTCATATCGACAGTTTAAGAGCCAACTTTTGAGAATTTTTTATAAGTATGTAATTAATATTGTGGATCGGCTTAAGGAATGTACAAAGAAAGCTTCATAGAAGAGATTGAACAACTTGATGATTACTCGATTTGATAAGTGTCACTCAATGAGGAGCTCTCTCCAGCTTTCGTCAAGGCACTACTGGTCTTTTTTCTGCAGATAAAGGAAACAGAGTGCCCATCAAGAACATTTTAGTCTCCCAAAAGAAGAACAGGGAAATATAAACAATTGCAGGACATCACTATAAGTGAAGGGGGACCTATTGACTCACTGTACAGGTCGTTTTGCCTACGTGTTCTAGTGCTAGGAATTAAGTCATATGTAACAAAGAAATCTGACAGTTTCCCCTGTCGAAAGAATCGATCATAATCTACGAAGAACTGTAAGTAAAGTAAGAAAGGGCGCTATCGCAAGATATGGGGGCATTGTTATGGTAACGCGTCAAAATCCGTAAAGCATCCCTTTTAAAAAACGGGTCTAAGCCCTAGGTGGGACTGAAGAAAATCTAAGGTTCGTTTTCAACTTCCATTCTCCCGAAGTTCGCACCCTCCTCGGCTTATTCCTAGAGAATGCCCCCGTACTTTGCGATAACGCCTATGAAGGGTAGGAATGAACCTTTAGATTTGGCGTATTATCCGAAATTGCTGTTTCCGCCAAAGGAAGGAACCAAAAGGTGACTGGCCAGACATGTATAAAAAAAGAAGCCTTGTGCATAATACTGTTACTCCTTGAAATAGTTATGGGGCAGGCAGAAATGAATAGGATTAGCTTTACTGCAGAGCTGAAAAAAATAAAGACGGCAAAATAAAGATAAAATTTCACCTTTGTATTGCAAAGGGCGATTGAATGACGTCCACATACTCAAAGGGTAAACAATCAGAAAAAATAGTAACCGTCTCGCATATTGAAATCATAGCTCCTTTTAGAAATGTGTCTAATATTTGCTCAAAAAAAATTTATTCTTTAATTCTCCCTATGGAGGTATTCCACTTACAAGATATTATAATAGTATGAGAATTGCTTTAAGAAAAAATAAACTTGAATAAAAGAGAATATCAGAAAAACAACAAGAAGATCAAACAATAATGTAACAAACAAATAAACAAATAAACAAGTGGAATGCGTCAATTCACCTGAGGATAGGAGTTGAGAGGTTGTGGTGAGATGTCAGGTTTAGGCGCATTTATCGCCGCCAAACACACGAAGGCAATTAGACAGATCGACAACAACTGCAAACGTACATCGATAATAATGGACCGAAGACCTATTCATCACAGCTACATGAAACAGCAGGGTAACGCGCTAAAGACCACCCCCAGGGACTGATTGAGCCCTCCCACCCATCATAACTGGCCTGGACCCATTACTGCTCATCTTCCCCGGGTTGTGGCAGGCGACTTCTGTAAAGGATAATCATAGTTTAATGGTAGTTAATGTGAATTCGTCGACAAACCACCAGACTTCAATCGATAACAAGTCGCAACTGTTCCCGAAAGACCAGTTTCCTTTCATAGGCATCGACGTATGCCCGTTCAAAGAACGAAGAATTGCCGTCGGATTGGTTTTACGCTCAATGTTCACTATGTGCCATCCGCTGGGCCAACAACATAGCAAAATGCCTCAGTTTTGTTTTAGGGGGCGCCACAATTTATTCGGGAATTCGAGAAAATGGGAATATTATGCCGAATAGAGGAAGGAACTAAAGGACTCACGAAAAAGACGGTGTTGAGGGTGAGGCAGAGTGCGCGTGCAGTGCGCTCAAGGCGCTGCGGCATCACACAACACACTGAATCCAGCCCTGCCCAAGCCACGCCCCTTTCACGCACCACCCGGCTGGCAACAGTGAAGGAGCCGCGTGGAGAGAATCGCTTTGAAATCCAATGCATACATGTTACGAACCCGGAAGAGCGGAAGGTTGCTCGAATGGGCAGCATCCTTCATTCGGGGGGTCATTATCATTATCTAAGTTACAATTGCTAGCTATCATGTTATACTTTTTAGCAAAATATTTTTTAGCTGTAATATAGAATACTTATTTGAAATCAATCGAATCCATTCGATTCTGAGATTTATCAATTGCGGTCAAGTATTCACACTTACCCGTACCCTACCTAGGATCTTACTTCCCGTCATAAGTGATTTATATGCAATTGTGTATTGGCGATAAGAGGAAAAGCTTCGCTCTGACTAATCCCTTTTTGGAATGCGCCACGCATTCCGCTTCCATTAAAAATCGTAGTGGCACATGAATGGAACGCTTCTACAAAATGACTTGCAGGGATAGCCGCAATGTTTTATTCCTCAAAGACGAAACTGGTATCGTATAAAAGACCCCGAAGAGATAGAAGTGTTGCTTTCGGGATTTGATTCTCAACCCCCCCCCTTCCCCAACCATGCTCGTACGAAGTTTGATTCCACCTTTTCCACAATTCCCATGGTATGATGTATCATACATGCAACCGTTAGAATCATTTGGGAAGCCACGCCTGGAACCATGTTCGAGGAGCATTTACTGGCTTATCCTACAATTCAAAAAAGATGGAGAAAGGAGGCTAAAACAACGAAACTTGGTCGCTAACCAAGCGCACGTTCCGACGTCAGATCCCTGTTCGAATCCCGCTTGGGCTATCTTAGCCTTCTATCTAGCCAATGTTGCCTTGAAATAACACAGCCGTCTGCGAGGGCAACAACACTCAGTTGACATCGTCTGGCCCCCGCAAATTCTTTCTGTTGTCCAAATCGCATTCAAATTGCCACTAGATTGTGTAATGCATGCAAAATGGGTGACGCACACCAAAAAGTGATTGTTGGATGCCGAATGTCTCATTCCTTTTGCTTTATACGCAGTTTCAGATATGGTTGAACCCTAACAATTTAATAGAGCTAGGGGTGTGAAGGATCTGCACTTCACTAAATTCATTGAGTTTTAGTTTTTATCTTGAACCAAGTACGCTCATGAATGAGGAAGAACCCTTGTGGGAACTCGCCAGGCGGAGCGAAGAAGCTTTCGTTTGGTTTGGCGCTGATGCGATGCACTCACATCACGTCACTCAATGTCGAACGCCTATTGACTCGATATGCGAGCGCGAGGCAACCTATTCATTTCATTCAACCTCACGCTTAATGACCTCGTCCTAGTGGTCCAAATCCAATCGACAGCGAATTTGAGAGCGCTGGGCTGGATAGACAGCGATGTATGCCTTCATCGGAGAATAATTATAATAGCATGTCGAGGATTCTGGGTGGAAAAATAACTTGAAAAAAAAAACAAAAAAAGGAGTTAAGATACCAAGCTATTGGTTACCAAAATATTCGAAGTAAATATAGAGAAATGGTTACGTTACAAAGTCTGATTGCCATCAGTCTTCGGAACGCCAGGAAATGTTGTGTAGAAACAGGTAAATAGTAAATATAATGAGCAAATAAACACTAAGGAGCAGTTTTTGAAAAAATATGAAAAATGAATATTCGGAATCACAAGCACTGTAACCGCACAATTTCCGACAGGAAATATTCCATTAGATAGTTCAGCCCAATCAATTTCAATTTGTTTACACACCAGGTCTGTTTCTTTGTTCCTGGCATTCAAAAAATAGCTGAAGGTAGCCCTCTCTGAAGTGAGCTGGTGGCCATGATGAAATAGTTGGAGGGGGGGGGGGTGCGACACCAACATTTCTGCAATCTGCAGATCGAAACCATCTCGCCCAGGTCAATTGTTAGTTTTGGAAAGCGTTCCGTGTTTTTCCATCTCATTTGTTTTCTTTCCACTTCTTGGAACTGAGAAGTCTATATCGGCTTAAAAGAGCACATTAATCCCGTATATTCTGCACTTTTGAATTTTTCTGAATGGCTCAATTTGTTAAATTTTTCTTTAAAACTGGAATACTCTAGGCGGTATAATAACAGATTTTCCGCCAGCTCTATTTTACATTTATCCAAAATAAAATAGCAAACAGTGACAGGTACAAGGGCTCCATTAATAGTTATCTCTTAATTGGGAGGAACGCTTTGAATCAAACTGTCACGTCTATAGGATCTAAAGGACATGCCTTGAATAACCTTACTGAGTTCAATCGACATTATTAGAAGGCAATTTCGAATGTTCAAAAATGTTTCCAATTACTGTCTCATATATGTGTGTGATTTTGTCAGCTGTTAATCAATACTTGGTGAATTACAACTCTGCGCCTCAAGAGAAAGCGGATATCTTCTATAATTCTTTTGAGGCGGATGTAACTGAGAAGATTTTTTGTTGAGAACTTGCTATCAGACTTGCAGCTCATGATTTATCCAAAACTTCCGTAAATAGCGATGAAGAGCGTTTCGATTCCTCTCAAAAAGTGACATACGATCTAAAAAGAGTCGATCAGAGAACTAATAGAGCAGCCTTTAGCGAGAATTCGAGTCGATAAATCCTTAACGAGCTTAAAGGAATCTTCCACGGACCATGGACCAGTGGGCGGGACCGGAAGTTTTTGTGACGAAATGCATGGTAGGTACGGATCCACGTGTCGAACGCACGAACGTGAACAGGATTCACTTCAAACCTTCCCATGAACGTGGATCCGTACCTACCATGCATTTCGTCGCAAAACCACTTCCGGTCCCGCCCACTGGTCCATGGTCCGTGGAAGATTCCTTTAAAAATATGGAACGTGGAGACATAGCGGTACAGGAACAAAAGCGGTCATCACCTGATCAAAAGCCAAAGTTAACATGAAGTTCCATTCATATCGACAGAAGGTGGATTACCTCTCATCTCACTATTATCACGGATGCAAATGCGAAGTTCTCCATTCTAAAATACAAGCTGCAAGTTGTTT